GGAGTGATTTTCACCCCGAGCAGAGAGTGCGCCATTGCGCGCACTACTGCACAAACGCGACCCATGAGAATAAGAGGCGTGATTTCAGCCTTATCAACCATCCGACCCTCGAGGCTCAGTGGCAGAGCACTGGACTATCACCAACGCGGCTCGGGTTCAAATCCACGCGGGAGCGCTCGGAATTTTACGCTACAAATCGTCGCAGGATCTAAGGTAAATGGTTAATGTTGTCATTACTAAGGTAATCCGAATTTCAATTGTGATAAACTTGTAGAAACCCGTATCTAATGTTCATGGCAAGAACTTCCATGTCTATTTGACAGCGTGCGCTGAGTATGTCGTAGAAAGTAGTTCAGTCATTAATTGACAGATAGCGCTATCGGCGTAATTTCGTGAAATCTTGAAACCCTGCGCGGTAGCGTCGCGTGAATTCTTGTAGCAGCATATTGCCCCTTCCTCGAGCCTTCCCTCACCTCTCCTGAAATCACTCCTTTGTGTGGTGATTAGCACCCTGTGGTCGGGGTGCATTACACGCCAAGTTCAGGAGTGTTGTTCCCTCCGCGCCGTCGGTCACTCGTTCGTATTTTCACTCGATTTTTCCATGGGCAAAATAGAGGCGAAGTAAGAGTGATTCTCACCCCGGAATCTTCTAAAATTTCTAACAGTGTAGCCACATGGCAACACTGTCGAGTTTGGAGAAGCGTACATCCGGACGGAACCTAGAAATTTTTCGGACACGTTTTATCCGTGTACAGATGTATAATTCTCTTCCTAATGATTTTAAGGATCTACCTCGTGAAGGTAACTTAGTAGCAATTTTCTATCAATTGAAAACGTTCTGTTTAGTAGGAAATGCATAAGATTCAAAAGAGTTCTTATAGGTGATTGTTCTTCTTAATCTTTTAACACAGCCTGCTTTTTGACATGCATCATAGCCGTCATTTGGCGGCATCTATGTATGCGCTGTTGAATAAATAAATCTCAAGATTATGGTGAATATTTATTTAATTGCTTCCTGAACACTTGAACATTCGATAGATATAGAACGCCTTTACTATTGTAGTGCTATCTTCTATCCAAAGATTTGTTTCTATAGTCTAACTTGTTTGATTTTTTTATGAGTATGATACGAATTTGTGATGTTTGAAATTCTTTGATAACTGTTGGAGGGACACTAACTTCTTCCATTGTGCTCAGTGGAATTTGCACAACGATATGAAAAAAAACTAAAGTTTAAGTTTATATGGGAACTGGGTCAAATATTTACACAAGCCTTGCATATTTCTGAAAAAAAAACTCGCTTGAATTTACACAAATGATCAGCGTTTATACTAAAATTTTGTATTTTTTTCTCTTGAGTTTAGGAATAAATCGACAACTTCCGAGTTTATTCAAACTCAATGACTATTTCTAAAAACACAATACTAGGAATAAACTTCGGTGTTTTTGTGTGTTTATTCACAGGGTTGGGTTTTTTTTTTCTGGAACACGAGTAAAAATTGTGGAAAAAATTGTTTAAAAAACATTTACAATGATGTGTATGAATATCAAAGTATGGACTATTTTAACACAAATCTGTTCAAGTATATACTCGGGGATGTGTGCGAGTTTTTACGCTGACACAAGGCTTGTGAAATCATTTGACCCAGTTCCCGTATAAACTTAAGCTTGTGTATTTTTTTTTTAACTGTGTACAAACGAACTGTACCTTAACATTTTCATATCCCAGAAGCTAACGTTCCCATGACGAATATTGCTATCGCTAGTGATTGCAAAATCCAACTTGTTCCCAAGTTATAATCGGAAAGCAGAAATGACCGAGATGTCAAACCCGCAAAACTCATTCTATCGGCTAAAACGCGGCTATATTCCTCAAACGGGGCAACTGACATGACAGTGCTCCTGTTACCAAATTTTAGTGACATTAAATCAGATTTGAATTTTCAAACGGAGCAAAATGAATTTTTAGTAGTTTATCATCGCTGAGTTCAGAAATTTCTGACAGTCTTCAAGAAAATCACCTTTTAAAAATTACAATTACTGTTTCATGTAGTGCTAAGAGAAAATATATAAGATGAAAAACAGAATGCACGGTTGAAACTTACAGTGATTGGATAATTTGGGACATTATCCAGCTGCGTAGGGAAAACGTCAAAAGCTAACAAAATGTCTTTCATTGCCGCTGGTGTCATTTTATTTAGTGTCATGGTCGTTGGTACTGCACTGCCAATATTGAATGTCATCAGCAACCCTTTGAGCAAGTACCTTCCAAAGGAATTTGGAATGATTTTAGGCATCTTGGGCCTCAATGTTCCTCTTTGTTGTTGTTCGTTTGTCTCGATGAAACTCTTGAGAGCTGTAGGTGTAGCTGTTGCTACTTCCCAGAATCTGTAAAAATAATCCATACCTAATTCAGATTTTCGAGTTATAATCATGCATGTCAGTTCAAAATAGAGGTATTACAATAAGTCCGTTTTTCTGTGTTTTGTCGGTAAGGATCAAGTTTTATTTCCATTTTTCGGATGAGTAGAGGCTTGTGAGGTGTACAAATTCTGAAATTCCTCAAAACAGTTACAAGCGTTGCACAAAAGAATAGTCTAGACCGTGGGGCTATAAATGATATCCGAGAATTATTGTGGTCATAATACTAGATACCTGTCAATGTTAAGCATGTGCCAAAACGACGTGATCAGAAATCATGGTAAGATTTTCCAAGAACCACATGTAGCAGTAGGAAAGACCACATTCCTTTCTTATTAAGAATCTAAACAATAAAATGTTAGGATAAAACTCCGTTTTTCGATCATGCCTAGGTTAGTGGTAGGAATCTACTTACCTAACTTAAATTTTATCGGAATTTCTTGTCGAACTTGCTCAAAAAAGCATCTTCTGCGATCACTTAAATCCTTCAAAAACATTTTTTTAAACAAACGCCGCTTTAAAGCACTTCATCTGGGGGGTTTTTTCTCATGCTTTTCAATGAAAACAAATACTCTCTGCCAATAGGAATATAATACGTAAGATACTTAAAACACCTGGCCGGGATATACTAATGAACTATAAATTGTTTGATGTTGGATGTCCCACTTTATCCTCTTTCCTCTTGTTCACCCTCGCAACAAAAACGTGACTCACATTCTCAAGAATGAATGCGATGGAAACAAAGTCTCAATGTTATTATCATGAAACCAAGTTCATATCTTATCTAATCTTAATCCAAATTTTACGCTCTTATCTTAGAAACCACGTGAAACCGATAAAATCCCGTCAGACATAAGTAAATGACGTATTCATACATCCAAGAACAGACCGCCTGTGATCATACCCACCCCCTCCCCCTCAGACCGCAGGAATACATTTGAAAACATTGAACGTAATGATGACCGTAGATGATGACTCGTCCCTCATTCATTGATGACTCGTCGCGTCTATAGAGTACATAGAGTCGTAATGTAAGTGGGTGAGCTGGTGCCACTTTTAAGCATTTCCCAGATCCCGAATTCTGAGACTCCTGTGTGATGCCGGGTCTTTTTTTCGATACATAATCGATTGTTTGTTATACACGGGTACCCGGCCATCCGATGTAAACAAAGAAGATAGGAATCACCACGTATTCCATACCGCCATTTTGGATCGAACATGTATCGAAAAAGTGACCCAAACTCGGCGCACACCGGGCTCGGAACTCGTCGAGCAGAACATGGCGCCAGCTCTCCCATTTACATTACGACTCTATGTACTCTATGGTCGCGTCGCATTGCTTGCAAAGCTCAAAGCACTCCTTTTGGACCTTGGGTCTCGCTTGGAATCGTTTTGATTTCCTGTCAACCTGCCAAGGCCCATCCTCCCTCTCCAGCTTAGTTAATCCGTTATTAATCTTTCAGTACCTACCCTTATGCCTAATTCATTTTCGTCAGTTTCATTTTTATTACTCAGGAAATCATACGTGGAATGGATTTAAAATTAAGATTCAGTTCTAAACGTTGCCTTCATCACCTTAATATTGTGACATTTTCAATGTAAATATATTTTATAAAAAAATAAGTGAGAAGTTATTCGTGAATTGAGAGCTCAAAAATGCTGTTAGCAAGTGATTACTTGATAAAATTGTACAATAGTTTGAGTATTTTTGTAATGTTATCAATTTTATTTGGAGTACAAATGGCAAAAAAAATACCGAAGAGAACGCCAGAGGAAATTAGGGTAGCTATGATACGACACGGTTTAGTCCCCCAATTGATTGAAAAGGCACCAGAATATGCTGTAGAGGTAAGAGTAAGAACTCTGAATTCATATTTGTTGAGATAATCATTGGGATATGGAAATTTTTCGTACCTATTCCGAGTTATTTTTTGCTAAATGAGATCATGAAAAACACGTGTCTCCGTCAGAAATTAATAACAACAGGAATTTTCCTGCACAGAGTAGAAGCATCGAGTTCTTCAGTACAAGATAAAAAGAAAATGTATTGTATACGGCATATAACATGACGACGGTGAAACTACCAAACCACGTATCTCGTTTGCGGCGTTTAAAAATCTACGCTCACATTTTATTTTTTTGAAGTAGATCAAATCAATATCACTCCTTGAAATTTTCACGGAATTTTCTCCGCACAAAGAGGAAAAATCACAGAAATTTTCAAGACTGGATGTTAAGTAGTTTTTCATTTAAAAAATAAAGTATGACAGGAAGTCTGCGACGTCGCAAACCGAGATACGTGGTTTGGTAGTTTCACCGTCGATGACCTGTTTGAGTCACTGCGCGAATGTCACAGGTATATGAATTGCATGAGTACAAAGTTTTCATCTTACTGATTTTTTAGCTTTGCTCTCCCTTCCCTCCTCAATGTTTATAAATTACCTCATACTGAATAGTGTTGAAAACAAGGACATCGTTTTATTTTAATATCTCAAAATTCTTTTCTTTCAAATCAACATATTCATATGAAATTATCCTGAAAAGGGAATTTAAATCTATGGCAATATATTTCTCACTTTGATTTAATCTTTACCACTTTCCGGAGCCATTAGTTTATCCTCATTGTGAATACCTAAATCTACATAAGTCATCCTTCCGGTGTTTTTTCACCAAATACTTTACATTTCACAGGTAGCATACGGGGAAAAAATTGTAGATTTTGGTAATAATTTGACTGATGTAGACATGAAAAATGAGCCAACTCACGTGAACTGGCCGGCCGAAAAAGACTCTTTGTACACACTTATGTTAATAGGTAAGTTTCAATTAGTACACTTGTGTTGTGTCTCCCTTCTATATCAATCACACGGAGAAAAACACTTCGGGTACACGAACCAAATAGTCCAGCGGGCGTTTTTCAGTTCAGAGGACTGAGCATTCAGTCGAACAAGCTAACGGTTCAGTTGACAGCACTGAACTTTTTTTTTGAGTTGAAGGTCAGTTCACCGAAACGAAAACTTTAAGCAAATTTTCGCAACTGGAATCGGGTAATTGTTTGGATAGATGTTGTATCGCCGCCGTTGGAATGTGGACCAATCAGAGCCGAGTATCTATAATTTTAAAAATAGTGTATTTCCTTCGGAAAATACACTAAAAAAGGAGACAAATTCCGGATTAGGTTTAGACACCGGTTGCTAATGAGATTAACAGACTGGTGGATTGGGTTGAAAAAAAAACCTTCTTCATTAGCATTTGGTCAGAAATGTCAACCAAGTCCACTCGCGGAAATTTGCCTTTTTCTGTCAATATGAAGCATGTCCCGGTTAAACCTAAGTTTTACAGTTTTTTTAACTTATGTGGTTGGTTCACTTGATTGGAAGCTCGGTTTTTTGAGCCACATAAGCGTATGTTGGACTGTTTGGTTCGTATAGCCAAAGTGTTTCGCTCCGCACGATATATACATAAATTATATGCTAAACTACGCGTACAACTTTTAATGCGGCATGCTCACAGAACTTTATCGTTCAAAAATAACGTAATGTTGGCTCAGGAGAAAAGGGAAGCGCAAGATGACAGATGCGTAACGCGACAATTTTCTAAAAATATTCTGGTTGGAGTAGGATCATATTGATAGTTAGAGTACAAAACGGCACGAAGAACATCTAAACAACTCACAAAAATAGAGAAAAATATGTTGGAATTTAGAAAAATATTATAGTAATGAAAACGTTTTGAAAAGGATCATTTTCTCTTATGCGACCTGATCTTTTGAAAAGGATCTTATCTCCCTTCCAAAAATTCGAATTTGAATCATCGGCACCACTGTGAAGATTATAAGAAAATCTGAATATTTCGAAGCTTATTTTGACCGTGAAGTTTCAAAAGTTGAGGATGATATGACGTCCAGAAGTTCCAAGACAAATATTCTTAAATTTTCAGCTTCTTAGAGCGCGCGTTTCGCCAAGAACCCGAAGTCTTTCCTTAAATGCTCTCTTGGAAAGCTCTCTCCCAGAAGAGAAGGTCCCTTTTCACACATCTGATCACACAGACTATCATTTTGGTCTACTTTAATCGAGATTGGTCGAAGAATATTTCTATTTATTTATTAACTGTCTTCTGATATTTTCAATTTTTCTTTTATTTTCTTACATTTTTCCCTCCTTACAGCTGAAGTAATCTTCATTCTTTCCTCATATATTATTCAGGCCCAGATGTTCCTACTTACGAGCATCCTGATGACAAAGAGTGCCAGCACTGGATTGTTGCCAATATACGCGGGAATGATATTAAAACTGGGTATCATTTATCAGAATACGTAGGGCTCATACCATTCTACGAATACGGTGAGAAAATTCAATATCAAATAAAGGCGTGTGAGCTGTTAGTGCTTAATGTAAACGCGTAAATTTAAGCAAACACTTCATTTCCAATTCACTCTAAAAGTCTGGACGGTTGAAAATGGTCAGTACTCGACAGTCAGCGTATTATTCTATTCGCCGAAAGTTTGACTACAATTTGCGAGATATGCAACCAAGTACCAACCGTAACCGTCATAGCAGTATCCGTCGTGGATGGATGTTATTATCCCGGCAAATTATTATTGTGCAACTTTCAGTCCTAAGATAGACTTCCTAATCACTCATCATGATTCTCAATTTATGACTCTATTTTTTTAGGCCCACATCGACTCTTCTTTCTTGTGTTCAAACAAGCTTTAAAAGATGTGCCACTTAAGTTTGAAGAGGATGAATATCGACCAAAGAGGTAAGCTCATCTGATTCTGATATTGTAGTATTCCTCTTGTAATTTCCATGCAGTTGTGCAACTTTTCAAACGAATATGTTCATACCCGCCCACTTTTCTACCTGTATCTCCTCCTTAGTCTCTTATAAATTTGTGTGCGTCATAATGTCTGAAATATCAAATCCTCTTACGTTCATAATGTTGCAGGATAATCGGCTACATGCGAGGATTTTTCGAGTTCAAGCCATTCGCGGCAAAGTATCGACTGGGTGAACCGATCGCAGCTAACTTCTTCCTGGTTCAAATCAATCCTTACCCGTTCAATTTAACCAATTTTGCCGTAGATAGTGATGGATTGAGCTCCAGGTTCAAACCATACGTAAACCTCACGAATTAACTGACTTCCATGCGAATGAAGATGAGTTGGACGCGCGGTATGAAACAGCACCCTGGCAATGATAACATCCATGCAAAAATCGTCGAGTATATATTTTTTACTGAAAATGTTTTCGTAGAAATTTTGAGGTATTTCTGATGTAACAAATGATTGCACTAGAGAGAATCTAGAGGAAAGTTAGTCAGGGCCGTGTGACGTCCTATGGACGAGTAGAGCGGTAGCCCGTTGACAGAAGGGGGGCGGCAAGAAAAGACGTAAGGAAAAAAGGAAGGGTGAAAACGAAAAAAAAGAAGGGCAAAAAGTGAAAAGACGAGGGAAAAGGGGGAAATAAAAGAGAAAGAAGGGAAAAGAGGCGAGAAAAAAGGAGGATAGTGAGAGAATGCGGATCAGAGGCCAATAATGGAGGAAACGATTAGTGCATTTCTCTTTATTAACACAGCAATTACATATTATTACTACTACAAAATTGATTTTAGAGAGGTGCGGCGCAGTTCAAGTAAGATCGCTTTCATAGCATACCCAAGGGAGTAAAATTACGCCAGGCATTCAAGGACGCTTTTAAACGCGGCGCCTATAATAGGCGACCAGAAGGTTTATTTCGAGAGAAAGTCTCTCTAAAGGCTCCTCCTCGTTTATTCATAATTTCTTAGGATTGTATGCAAGTCAAGATGATTGTTAATATTTTATCTTTAAGGGGGGGGGGGTGTCGGCACTAGAACCGTTGCCCGAACTGTATGTAACAAGGTGGTAAAATAGTGATAGATCCACTCTATACTGCAGGGAGAAAAAAGCCGAAAAGTTCAAAACTTTCGATCAGCGTCAAAAATTGTGAGCTCTAATGAGTACCAGTACAAGACTAAGGGGGAGGGGCTCGGGCAGTTTGCATTAGAACATTGCATTGATTCAATAGAGTTCAAAATTTTTGACTGTAATTGAAATATGTAAACTTTTTGGCCTTGTATTTCCCGCAAAATAATGTTGACCCGGCACTATTTTACCACTTTAGCTTTAAGCCGAAGCGATAAAGCGAACACATTTTTACCGCTATTTAACTATACTTGATGCGTCGTTTTGTTTCCAGCAGTTTATTTAGATGCCGAACTAACAATACTTGAAACGTATTTGATTTTAATAGGAGTAAAAGTGTTAAATAAGTTTTTATTGAAAATTTGGCACGTACGTAAACTTGTATGTTCATCTTCATCTTGATATTTGTAAGATACTAATAATTCTGATGGAGATATGTTAAGAAGAATACTAAAAATGTAAGGCAGTACCGAACCAGTGACTGATTATACACAAACAATGATCTCAAAGATGCCACTTGAGAAAATAACTTAAAATCCTGCCGAAAAAATGAAAAATATTCTTAATATTCAGAAGCTTTTGACTGATTTTTTCCTGTTACTGTCTACTTATCAAAAATCGTCATTTAATCTCTCGTTGCGTTAGAGGATTTTCTTTTTCTAAAATTGATTTGTTATTGTTAACCTCACGGGTCTCTTAGGATTTTATCGTTCATGCATGAAAAAAGTATAATAAACGTGTCTATTAATTTATTTTACTAACATTTTGCTCACTCATTTATTTACAACGATGATGCACAGTTACATATAGCTCGGAAATATGAACAGGAACACGAGAGAATGAAAAATAAAAAAAAAAATGAGCACAACAAAGGCTAAAATATTGAACCACGAGAAAAGCAGGACGTTTTGAGCTGTCTCGGGTGTAAGAACAATCAAAATTAATAAAAATTGAGTCTTGACCTAATCCCAGTTGTTATTACGCAATCGCAACCACTGAACTTTGGTAGACGGACCATCCGAGGGGAAATAGTGGTCACATATTTATCAACAACATTAAACAAGGTGGGTAGGCAACCTCTGCTCCTACACATTTGAAAATTCGAACAGATATTAAATGCGCATTTGCTGAGGCCAATTTTTATTTCTAAAAAAATTGGCGATATGGAGTCCTTAACCTTTCCACCTCTGATCGACAGTTGCATGGCTTGTCCCATGTCCCTATCTTTGACTACGATCATCTCCAATACATCTCTGAAGATGTTCCTCGGGTTGACCCTTTACACTCGAGAATTGTCGAGACCGAGGTATAGTGATGGCCGTGTGACAGCTCGAAGCGTCCTGTCTTTTTAGTATTTTAATCATTTAGCCTTGTTTTCCCCCATTCTTTCATTTTATTATTTTTCCATGTTTAAGTATTTGCAACTGAAATGACTTGACTTAAGTGGCTTTTGTACCCACCCGTTAAAGAATCAAGTTCAAACCGATCTGCAATGCGGACAAATTTGTGTTCTCTCCTAAAACTTGTTCAATTCATTTAAAACCTTTAAAATTCATGTTAAGACACCCTATTTCATTTTGATGATTTGAGATATAAAATTGTTCTTATGTTTATTTTTTCATTTATTTCTTTCTCAATCCAACTTTTCTATCCTTGCATTTTGTTGAGAGGTACCTTTTCACGAACCGTCTTCATCTTCTTCATCATTTATCGCTGGGTCCGGAGGAGTGACGATATCACAACTTTCGTGCACCTCTGCCCAATTGATTGCAAATGGTGCTCCTAGATTGTACTCATTCACAAAATGTCGTGTGGAAAAATTCTCTCTTTTAACTTTCATGAAACTAAAAACAAAAGTAATAAAAATAAGTATTAAAAATTCAATACGAAAGTCTTAGTAAGCTGGTGTGAGCGCAGGCTGCCAATAAATGGCGGCGCGTTGAAACAGCTATCAACAATATTTTTTGCAGTTAAGTTTCTTTCTTCAATACTTAAGAGAAATTTCGTTTGATTCGTCATAGGAAAAAATTGATTTTCCAAATAATGAGAAGAAATTGCTGAAGACTTCCGTGAAGGGCAGTTATGAAGAACCATTTTTTTAATGTTTTCCTTCAATATCAGATTTTTGGATCACAGCCTTTTTGTGAAAGCATAATTTAATTCAATTAAGCATTAGCTTTTTAAAAACGTCTGGTATCTGGAAATATAAAATGTTTGCTTTTTTACTCTGCAAATAAAACACATAATTTTTAACTTATACGTACTCTGTATGATGGTGATCATCTTTTAAATGTAACGTTCCATTTTGTTGGAACACTAAGTAAACGACACGATGAACACCTGGAAGGAAGAAAGAGATATCAAGCAAATGAGCATGGATTAATTTAATCAGCTGAAACACACGTGTATTTTTTTACATTCACAAAATATTAGCGAGATATTTTGAGAGGCTTTGTAATTTTGAAAATTTTGAAGGTAAAGTCGTGTCAACGGTTTACCAATTAACGGAACAACATGTGAAAAAAATTGAAATAAATTTGTGCAGAAATTATAGCAACTTGGAAACATTAGTGATAAAACACATTTTTGGACTGTTCGAGGGGGGGAGGGGGGGGTCTACCATTAAATAATAGGGCCATGAACGGTGCCGCCTTGACTCTTAGTGTACAAGATGTATGGTAATTGATTTGAAAAAAGGAACCAACTGGCTAAAACTAATCCATTTCTTAATTTGCTACTAGTGCTTCTTAGAGTCCTTCAAACATAGATTTAATCACGCATGTTGAATGAAACCGAAGTATCAAAACAACAAAATAAACAATTTCCAAAGCAAGTGATTGTCCCTTATTGGTTCTATGGGGTTATAAGATGTGATTAAGACTTACCTTGTTGGTAATCATAAACTGTTCCTTCATATTCCCCAAAATGATCTCCCTTTCGGAGATTTTGATCAGGTATATTTACCACCAGCCAGTGGAGATACTCCCGATACCTGGGATCCTGTCGGGTGGGCACATCTAAGCCTACAGAATGAAAAGTTATAAATTTTAACTACGGTAGCCATCATGCAAATTGTAGCACCACGGCAGCCTTACAACATGTATAAAGTATAGAATAACATAGAAAAACTCAAGGACTCTCAGCTGAAAACAAAACAAAATGAAAAGAAGAAATTACAAAGCAACGCCGCACCGGAGAGTGCACCGGTCAGTTTTTTTGTAATCAGAAATTTGTACTTGAAAATGGTTTTGATGAGATTATAAAATCATGCCTCACAAATATAACACGGAAAACCATCTTAGGGTTGAGCCCTACCTAGATGTAGGGTATTGAGAAGTACATAACGTCACGTCCCTACAGATTGAAGGCGCGAGACCTCTGACAGTGATCCGCTGTCTATGCTGTGACAGGGCCCTGAAGCAGGGAGGGGCCCAGCTTAAACCCGCACGGGGCCTGTCCCTATGATCCTTAGGTAAAGCAATCTTAGCTACGCCGGGGGTAGGGCTAGGACGCTTCCACGCAGGTCCCAACCCTAAATTCGTTTTTTCCGTGTAATTTTTCTCTCTCGAAGCGTAAAAGTACATTCCCCCGCAACTTTTAATTTTCAAATTGATGTTGAAAATGCAGAATCTTCTCTACGAATTTCAATCTAAAAATTCGGTCTGTTTCCATTTCCAAATTGATGTTGAAAATGTTATTTTAGAATACCGATTACCAAGAAACGAAACCACGTATCTTCATTTGCGACGTTTCATACTTCCTATCATACTTAATTTGTTCTTCGGAAAACTAATCAATATAATTTTTTAAAAAACTTCCTTGAATTTTCTTTTTCATCAGCAGAATCATCTGTAAAAATTTCAAACCGAAAATTCGGTCTGTTTTCCTCAGGAAAAATAAAAAAGGAGTGAAGATTTCGAAACACATTGACAAAGATAATTTGTTTCGCACTTTGGAAATCTATGTAGCACGTCATCTTGTAATCTGATTTTAGAAGCAGTAATAATTATCCGACAAAAAAATTTACCTGTCATAATAAGCGTGTACTTCTCTCCTTTCTTTAGTGGCCAGTTTACAACCTTTGGTGTTTCTACAATATCGAAAACTGTGACTTTATTCCCGAAGCTAAACGATCGACCCCTGTATTGGACCTAAAGGCAGACAAATGTAATAATTTATCATTCATAGACGTAAAAAGGACTCGAGCATCAGCTAAATAATCCAAAAGCATTTTTCAAAGGTAACGTTATCCGAAAAGAATCCGTCGTAAATTTTAAAACTAGGTATAGTAATATTATGCTATGAGGAGCAAAACAATTAATAATGGAGTTGAGTCATACCGTTACAGCGTATAGAGGTGCTTCATCTATGAGATCCGGAATTATTTTTTCCTCTAATATCAGCTTTTTCAGAGCTGCGGCATTTTTTAGTCGTCCTATATCTGAGAGATACACACACTGGAAATAAAAAGCATACAAAAAGGCGAGCGCTGGTGAAATACCACACATTTTACTAAACCCTGACTAAAGTAAACCAAATCATTTATCATTGCTCATAGAAATGATTCCTAAGCGGTAACTTCACGCGGAAAACATGATATCAAATTATGCATTAAGCATTTATATTAACCTCAACTCCTCTCATCGTCCAGATCATATTGAAAACACTGTCAGTTTTTAAGTGATGTGGACGCGGAGAACATGAGAAAATTGTCATCACAGTCCGAGATTTTTGTCTTAGATTGTCGAAGAGATATAAATGAATATCACAGTAAGTAAGTGTTCGTCAAACTGTCAAATAAATAGAGTGGCAAAAAGAACTAATAATGTTCCTCTCATCGTGTCAATCACATGAGTTCATACAGTTTATATGAATTAACTTCGCAATTGTAAATATATTTTTTGCACCCACATCACTGTAACATACTACTAATCTACATCATTAATCGTAAAAAGCTGTGGAATATTTAAGACCACAACACATGCAAGTTGACGCAACTTATCAAAAAACCATTAACAAAAGTTGTAGAAAAATATCCTTTTTACGAGTTTAAAGTATATAGTGAGAGAACTCATAAGAAGCTTGTATTTTTAAATATATAAAAAGAAAATTGAAATTAAAATAATTAAAAAATATGTTGACCAGCTATTTCAAAACAAAAAAAGGTCCCTTTCTAAATTACGAAATGGGAGATACTTTTCGAGGCTTGCTATAAACACCAGGCTTACGGGTTGTACGGAGCAGGTGCATCGAGATTCAGATATAGGTTTAAAAATACATCGTAAAAAACAAATCAGACATTGAATTGAAAAATAGAAAGGAAAAATTTGCGATTCAGGGAAGTTTTTTTATTTGACCACTACCCTTGAAAATCCCAAGTAGGTTCAAATTGAGCCAACTATCTCTTCTGGGCAAGCTATGCGAGTTCATGCATCGTGCCATCGCGCCTTCAATTTGCAGATGCTACACGGACATCCATCAAGCACGAATAGTTGTATCTCTGCGCCGTCGTCAACGCGCGTCCTTTCCCGTTCTCTATTCCCGTGTTGTGTTGGTACAGTTTGTCTTATTTTTGGTGATGCTTTGAAGGCTTACGTAATTTTTAAAGGATGGCATATTTAGAGTAAATCAAATGATGAGTATCAGTTCCCATAATTTTATGATGCAGTTAATTTCACACGATCATAAAGGAATTTCAGATAATATTTGAATTTATATGTATAGAATCTAGCTTCGTCTTCATGAACATGACACTCTATAAAATAGGTTAAAACTCATTGACATTTAGATATCACTTGATGGTTTCGATAAGACTGATTAAATAGCTCATTGACAGGGATTTCCAACGCGCAGGACACTTTTCTGGGTCAATGGCGAGCCATTAATGATCGATTATCGATATTGCCCCATTTGAAGCTGTGGTAAAGAATCGATTACTAAGGTGTTCGCCGCGAATACCCTGTTGATCGCCCCCTATAGGTTTAAATGGCAAATCAATCGATACATCGCAAATCACGCCACTCCAATGTCCTGGATCCATTATCACGTTGCCCTAATTAAGTTGATAATTTATTATCGAAATTGTTTGCAATAGTAAGAAGTAGGTGCGGTACTTTTTAATTTATAAAAGTCTGTTTATTTCATCGCAGACATCAGTTTGACTGTATTTCTCACATCTTTAATTCGTCGCCTAGCTGACATAAGGGCGTAACTACACTCTGCAATGAACCCTGTCCGTCATAAAATTCCATGCTTTTCCGGGCTCATCTCAATGTGTAGTTACGCCCTTGTCAGTCAAGCGACGAATTAATAAAATATGCAAAATAACGCGATTGATCAAGAAAAAAAGCATGGAAGGTTGTGTAGATGTCTTTATTTCTTTTCATTTCTGTACTAAAATAATTTACACAGTCTTTCGACTTTTTCACACTGTACAAAAAACAAAAACTGTAAAAAATCTGGATCAAAGGCATTTCCCCTTAAGATCTGTTGAATGATCCCCAGTTAATTCGGAACCAGTTACCAGCAAACGGCACTCCGTAGGCATGGTTTTTTGTGAACTTGGCAGTCGAAAATTTCTGCCGCGCTTTATCGTTTGGCCTGATAACAAACGTTAAAATTACAAACTAATAAAGTTGAATAATGTAAATCCACATTTGAAGAATGAAACATGCATTGAAACGTGGAAAGCAGATAATTCTTAGGTTTTATTTTCTGTTTTTGTTTTTCTCTCCTTTTCTTTTGTATTTCAATTTCTCTCACACAGTGAAAACTTATTTAAACTGAATGGGAAAACGTTGAACAATTTTTAAACTTTGAAAATTTTTTGACTGTTTACATACAAATAAGTCGCTTTACAGCACTCCCTCACGTTTACGACTCCTAACCTCCACTGCTCTCTTTCAAACCATAAATCTTGGGGCATTGAGCACCTTAACATTTCTGCTTCAATCCCCTCCCTCCAACCTTTCATTCGGCGCCCTCTGCGTCTTCTCCCAGGAGGAATCCAATCAAGGACCTTCTTCGGCAACCTGTCTCCTGCCATTTTCTGGACATGACCATACCAAATGAGTTGTTTTGTCATAATGTCATGCACGATACTCTCTTGACAGTTTTCATCTATAAAAATTCCCAAGGTTGAGTATCATATTTTTCTTTGGTCCTTCGAATGGTGGAGTGATTACATCATATCCATATTTTTAAATCATTCAAAGATGTTGATTAAAGATGTTTTCTTTCCTCTTTCTTTAACACACAGAAAAATAGTGAAACTAACGTTACAGTTTATTTAAAAAATATGGGGGGGGGAGTTAGTTCCCCATTTTAATAAAATTCTATTTAATATCTAGTTCAACTTACACTGGAGGAAGATAATCCTGCGAAAATGACATGTTCCCTTTTGGCTGGATATAAACCAGGAAAATATACCGTTGAGAACCTGAAAATTTGGACAAAAATATAATTGCTATCACGTTTCCCATGGCATAGGTAAAAATAACAAATATTTCATATTTCTTTTCATCCTATGTTTAAAATTTGAAAAAGTTTACTCACTTAAGCATAATTTCTACTAACCATGTGCAGTTGGCGTCGGAGGTGGAATATAATCAGTCAAAACTTGGCCGTGATCCACGTGAATTCCAGGAATGTTCACAACCACCCAACACTGGTACTCTCGTTGCGTAGAGTTATTCGGATCGGGCATATCTGGGGCTGTAAATCAAGTAAACAGTCAATTGTTTAATCCAGACTCAACACAGCAAACTTAGATCAAATTATTTTCAAATTGGATCTCATATACTTAGTTGCAATCTTTGTAAGTCCAAAGCATGAACCACAATTTGACGCTTTTTTTTCTTCAAAAATTTCAAATACTCATTCTTGAAATTATGAGGGAAAACAAAGAAATTATTTAATTGGTGTCTGTTAGACAGGCGTGAGTCCAAAAACTCATGAGCACTAGCAGTGGCGTGAGGTGCTTTGCGATATATCGATTTTTTTGCCATTTAAACCTATGGAAAAGGATCGATAAACAGGGTGTTCGCAGCGAACACCTCAATAATCGATTATTCACCGCAACTTCAAATGCGGAAATATCGATAGATCGCAAAGCACGCCACGCTACTGAACCCAAGCGTTCTGCGTCCCTGCGTGATCAACGGAAACCGGGGCATGATTTTTTCAACTCTCGCCCGTCTGATAGAAACCGATTCAATTATAAACATTAAAAGTTAGATATTGTTTTAATACTTACTACGAAATATTTTTTCGTCAATGTACGGAATGTAGAATCCTTTAAATTCACACATCTCTTAAATGCTGAAAACAAATTCTCTTAATGGGGATTTAAAAACAATTACTCGGGCCTCTTCAATTTTTAGACATACTCTCAGACCAAGATAACAACAGCGTATCTCGATTATGGTCCATACTGTGTGGTAGTCAAATGCTTTTCCAGTGAATCAAGTGAGATAGAAATACTTCATGGTGGTATAATGATGGATACTAATAAGTAATACAATAGATTTGACTCACGTACACAATTACGTTTTTATGAGCGGGAGGTTTGAATTCACGCGTCAAATAATATTTAACATCTTGGTTAGGAGATACTTTCAGTCATTTTCGTTGCACGAATCGTGCTTTACATGAAATTTTGGTTGAAAAACTTATCAGAACGCTTAACTTTGACCTTGTCTAGTGGTCCATTTTTTGTGTGTAAATTTTGACCGGTCAAGGATATTAATCTAATTTTATAACGTTCAAATTTTACTAATTTTGAATCTTAACTCTTACAATTTGACATTCCGTCCATATTCTCTTACACTTCAAATATTGCGACGAATTTCTCACCGATAAAAATTAGAGAATAGTAAATCTCGTCATCATTTGGCCAAGAGCAAACTGGTTTTTTGTTCAACTGTTCGGGCAAAAGGTCTTCACCTAGATCTGCAGAGACATTTTCCCAGCGCACCTGTGGAGTAGAGCCACCTATTCAGAGACATAATTGGGCATCTATTTTCCCAAAAGAGAGCTCTTGAAATGGATTTCGAATTTTAATCGGAGACACAAATAGGTATCCTCACCGACAAAAATTAGAGTATAAAATAGGTTCTCTTCATGCGGACAATACAACGTTGGCTCGTGAAGCACCTCGTGCTTGAAGAAGTTATCCCCCATTTCAGCTGCAAAAATTACCATCGGTTTAGGATTTAAAAAAACTTGTAAAATAAGTACCAAGCAGGGCCGGATTTACCTACTTGCCGCCCATGGACCGCCTGTATTTTGCCGCCCACATCTCATTCGTTTTGAAACATCAATAAAAACCGTCAAGTGAACGTACCGGAGGGAGAGGGATGCATAAGACGCGTTTACTCGTGTTGGATACATTTTTTGCGGAAGCCCTGTCAACACTACTAGCAAAAATTCACGGAACTTGGCGCGAAAGTTAAGTTCCGTAAACCTGTCTCTAGGTGGACAGTGCCTTCCATTAGTAAGAAATGAACGATAAATAAAAATTATGAAAGAACAATCGTAAATGTGGTTCAATAATTTTAACTTCCACCGCCGCGCCGTGCTGATCGCTTTTTGTTTGGCACAATGCGTGAAGTATTCCTACACTCTTGTAGGCGCTACGCCTTTTACGCCGACTGCTGCTGAACGCACTGTGTTTGACGCAATGCGTGAAGTATTCATGCAGACTTGTAGGCGCTATGCGTCACACGGCGACCGCTGCTGACCGCACTGTGTTTGACGCCATGCGTGAAGTATTCATGCAGTCTTGTAGGCGCTAATATGTGTTACATGCCGACCGCCGCGCCGAGGGCCTCTCCTTTTCATCTCAAGTCCTCGTCATCATTGCTCTCTGCGCCGCGCCGCTCCAGGGCAAATTGCGTGTTTGGTTTCTCTCTCAACTGGACTAATGAAAGGGCAGCCAACCCTCTGACACAGAAATGTCACTGACAAAATTCAGATTACAATGTTAGACCAAAACGGCCAAGAATGTTCATAAATGAGCGTTCTGGCCAGATTGCGTGCTTGGTTTCTCTCATAACTCGACTAATTAAAGGTGCTGTCTTTTGTATCGCCGCACGACGACAAATATAGAAATTACGATAATCACAGGAAATGCAAGATTTTGTCGCCGTTTGCAATTTTATTTTTATACCTACATTTTAAAAAAAAAATTGCAAAATTTGCCGCCATGGACCGCGGCCCATGTGGCCACCCCCTTAATCCGGCCCTGGTACCGAGTACAAGGTTACACAATTTGAGCCTATTTTTGCAAAGACGGTATCACGTGCTTGTGTATATTCATCGGTATAACAGAATCATTGATACTGGCCTCTTAAGGCAACATCCAAAGTTTTAAGGGTTTCGGGGGTATATTCGCACAAATTGATGGTGAAACTGTAGAATTGCAGACTTCCTTTCATACCTATTTTATTTTCTACATGAAAAACTATTGAACGTTATTTTGTAAAAATTTCAGTGATTTTCCCCTCTTCATGAAGAATTTTTTGTGAAAACATCAAGCTATGATATTGGTTCGGTCTACTTTCAAAAAGTAAACTAGTAGCGGAGATTTTGAAATACCGCAACCAAGATACGCATTTTTAAGGTTTCACTAACAATACATTGAGTTTGGCAGAAACGCGCCATTTTGTATAATAAATAAGTCTGGAGTAGTTTTTAATTTGAGTACAGACAGTATGCTAATTAAATGCGATACCAGCTCATTCAGTGGACCATTACTCCGTTTGAAGGATAAGAGAGCAGTCAGACCAGGCATAAACCAAAATTGTCTACAACATAGTGTCTGAGAGATTGCTTTTGGGAAATGAACACGTGGGGTGCTTGGTCTTATTAGGCTGTGTTGCTGAATTTTTCGGATCACAACTTTGCCTCATATATACCGTTTCCGGTTCAATCTGCGTTAATTTATTGTTTACGCAAACGGAACTACAAAACTAGGCTTCCTCTTACCTGCAACACATTAACAGGAGCGTACTGAATTACATCTGGGATGATTTTCTCCTTGTATAACATATTACTCAAAATTACAGGATTAAATAGCCTCTCTTTCGACATTGCAACTTGCAATTGTAAACTTAGCAAAACAATTGAAAATGTCTCGAACATCGTGTCGAAATTTTCAGTGCGTTGAGTTGGCTTTGACCTTTGGTTTCATCGATATCTGTCGGCTTCTGCGCAGATTAAAAGGAAAAAAGTTAAGATTGAAATGCACGACAAAAGTTACAGCTAGTTTAGATATTTTAAGTTGAAGGAGCTGTCCAAGAATTATGGAATATTCCTGATTTTTTTTCACATTTCACGTACTTTATAGACTGAACTACTGCAACTCGTATAAGTGTTTCTTTGGTGTCAGTAAAATCTATTGTAGTTTATGATAACATAAAAAAGAAAAAAACATAGTTCCAATTCACTCTCAGAAGTGTTCAAAGGAGAGTTACATGGTCCTAGAATGTTAATTAAAATATGATGCGCTTTTATATCTTTGTCACTTGATTAAAATTCAAGACACGATGTAACTCTAAAAATACTACCAGCTGACATTTTTTACAGAATATATCTCTGTTAAAGTGAGGAAAAGTTTCAAAATATAGCATGAGATGTTTCATCTTTGGTTCACTGAAACATAGGAGATAAATTATGTTATAGGCAGCCTGTAATGATTTATTTCCTCAGTTTTGCATCCAATATTTGACAAATTCGAATTTTGAATTTTAAAATTTACTTCGACAGCATCCCACGGTTTTATTTAAAATTGCCAATTTTTCTGAAATTGTTACCCTTTAACGTTATTCTGATTTTCTAAGTCTGCCGTTTATTTTTTAAAAGAGTCCTTTTTACTTTCTCGGAGCTAATTGTTAACTATCTTAACAAATAATTGCGAACAAAACTTAGTGTGTACCAATAAAAATATTAGGGGTCCGACATATGTTGAGTAATGCTTCCGCTAGTTTCATTTTACCCTTTTACTGCTCTTATTATGTTTATAATACGAGCAGAAAAAGGGTAAAATGAAATTACAGAACCTCGCTGTATGTTGGAAACAAGGAACTTTTTTACAAGTAGGAACTATCATCGTGAATAAGTTACTTTAACTAAAATAATTGAATTATCTATCATAATCCGAGGTAGAAAGTTGTTTGGTAGGTTAACTGACGAGCTAGACACACAAAGCACCATATATAGTTGCTTAAAAAACTCAAATGTACGATCATCATGTAGGGCAAAAAAACTTGTGATAAGTCGCAAGACTCAAATGATTGAATTCGGAGGCACCGTGCATTAAAATAATGGGTAGTTAATGAGACTTATCAGCAGTGTTGCAGTCTCTGCAAGAAAAAGTAATACAAGTTCACTTCAGGCGAACCGACAAGGCGAAAAATAAACCAAACTTTTGAGTTGAAATTTCTCTCTGTGTTATGCGAGTTCACGCCTCGCGCCATCGCGCCTTCAATTTGCAGATGCCACACGGACATCAATCAAGCACGAATAGTTGTATCTCTGCTCCGTCATCAACGCGCGTCCTTGCCCAAGCTCTATTGTTTTATTTTGTATGGTGCTTCGAGGGTTAACGGCGTGGTTTTGAAAAGATGACACACTTCGAATGGAATCAAATGATGAGCATTAAATTTGTATCCATAATTTTTTTAATTACCTAATTTCACACAATCATGAAAATAAACGAAAAATTATTTAATTTATGTAGAATCAACCTTTATCCTTATGAAAATTACACTTGGTAAGAGAGTAAAATCTTATTGACATCAGTGGAGAGGCATGAATGATTGATTTATCGATATTTCCCCCCATTTTAAGCAATAAAGAATATATTATTGAAAGGTGTTCACTGCGAACACCCTGTTTATCGAACCATTTCTATAGGTTTTGATGGTAGATCAATCGATATATCGCGAAGCACGCCATGCTTTAATCGAGATTGAGACATCACTTGATGGTTTCGATAAGACTGGTTAAATGGCTCATTGTCAATGATTCACAAACGCGCAGGACACTTTCCTGGGTCAATGGGGAAGCGTGAATAATCGATTACTTAGTGATATTCCGCCTTGAAGCTGTGGTAAAGAATCGATTGTAAATGTGTTCGTTGCAAACACCCCGTTCTGCGATCCTTATCCATAGGTTTAAATGGCAGATCAATCGATGTATCACAAAACACGCCGGGCCACTGTCCTAGGTCCGTTATCACGCGTTGCCTCAATGAAGTTGATAATTTAAAATCGGAATTTTTTCCATTAATAAGATGTAAGTGGTATTTTTCAATTCATAACATTCTGCTTATTTCATTGAAGACCACTTGTAGACAGTGTTTTTCTCACAGCATTAATCAACATGCGAAATAATCGATTATTTTGCGAGTATTTTGAAGCGAGACTTATAATTAAAGATTGGTCAAGAAAAAAAGCACGAAAAGGATGTAACGATGTCTTTATTTCTTTTTATTTCTGCACTAAATATAATTTACATTTTCTTATTTGATACTGCACAAAAAAAGATAAAAAACTTTGAACAATCTTGATGAGAGGCATTTGCATTCAAGATCTGTTGAATGATCCCCAGTTTATTCGGAACCAGTTAGCTGCAAACGGCACTCCGTATGCATATTTTTTTGTGAACTTGGCAGTCGAAAAGTTTTGCCGCACCATATCATTTGGCCTGGTAACACACGTTAAAATCATAACCTAATAAGATTGAGAAATATGAAACCAAATTTTGAGGAGTGAAACATGCATTAGTACGTGAAAACAGATAATTCCTCTGTTTTACATTTTATGTTTTTTTTTTCTTTTTCTTTTTTATTTCTCTTACAATGAAAACTTATTCGAACAAAATTACGAAGCATACATTTGGAAACAGGTTTGAGATGCCCCAGTTGATTAACATATTATTCTTTGGTCTTTCGAATGATTGTGGTGATTTTATTATATCCAGATATTTAAATCGTTCAATGATGCCGATTAAACATTTTTCTCTTCCTCTATCTCCAACATACAGAAAACCGGTAAAATTAAGTATAGATTTTATTTCAAAGAGAAGGACATTTGAAATAAAATAATATTAATTACCCATTTTAATAATATTATATTTAGTATATCGTTCAACTTACACTGGAGGGAGATAATCCTCCGAAAATGACACGTTTCCTTTTGGCTGGATATAAACCAAGAAGACATACCGTTGAGAACCTGTAAATTTGAATAAAAATATAATTACCATTACGTTTTCGACAGCATAGGTAAGTACAACAATTACTTCAAAGGAGGAGTTGCGTTTTGGGCCTTTTCCGGCCCCACCTGGATTTTGCTAAATGTTTCATATTTTCAAAGTACTAGTTTTAGGTAGACTCTGTGCCAAATATTAGACCGAACGGAGCCCATGCAAGGGCGCAGCAGCGCCTCAAACCCAAAATCCTGGAATCGAAAAACAATTATTTTCGTCGACTTTTTCGACTGTTATCACTCTTCCAGCACATGATTCT